ACACAACCAGAAGGATTTGGAGGCTTTGAAAAGGGTACAGAAATAGTTTACCAAGATGTTGTTGCCTGGTTTGAAGAGGAAAGATTGGATAAACTTGGTTTGTTTTCACTTGAACATTGAAAGATAAGGGATGACCTGATAGAAATCTACACAATTATGAGAGACATTGATAGAATGGATAGTGAGAGTCTTTTTCCCAGGGTAGCAGTGTTAATTATTAGGAGACATGCCCTTAAGGTAAAAGGGGGTAAGTTTAAAGAAGATGAGAGGCTTTTTTTTTTACAGAGAGGGTGATAAGTGCCTGGAATATACTGTCAGAGGGAGGTGGTGGAGGTAGATACAACAGCATTGTTCAAGAGGCATCTTGACATATCTGAATAGACAGGAATAGAGGGATATGAACTGCGTAGAGGCATAAAGGTTTTCAGTTCGGAAAAGCATCATGTGTTGACACAGTCTTGGCAGGACAACGGGCCTGTTTCTGTGCTGTACTGTTCTTTGTTCTTTGCCACAGTATTTCAGGATACAATATTTTAGACATAACTATTTCCTGGCTAGATGATGGTGGACACTAAACAACTAGAGGAGAGTTCATAAATACCCTCATCGTCTATGATGAGGAAGACAGGTGCATCATTGCAAAAGTCAAGGCTAAAGTATTTGTGTCTGTCTTCAGCTAGACGTGCCAATAGGATCATTTATCTGTTTCCTTCTGTGACCCCAAAAACAGATGCCAGTGTTCAACCAATCCAGTTCACTCTGAGACATCAAGAAATCACTGAAGACACTGACTACTACAAAGGCTAGAGCTGTGGATACATCTGCCAGTTGTTCTGAAGACATGCTCCAGAACTAGTTTTTTTTCCCAGCCATGCTTTTCTGGTATAGTTGCCACCTTGACATTTAGCTGGCAATGTGGAAAATTGCCTACATATATCATGTTTTCATAACGCTGAACGTATCCAACCCGGCCATTTGTCACTGCATGGACACATGAAGTTTCATGGCATCAGGTCAAACATAGGCAAGGAAACCTCCTGATGATTACCATGTGCTGTGCTCCCTCAGGCACAACAGGCCAGGTAGCATCAGAGGAGCAGGAAAATTGACGTTTCGGGTTGGAGCCCTTCTTCAGAAATTGGGGTGGGGATGGGAGTTCAGAAATAAAAAGAGAGAAAGGGTGGGGCTGGGGAAGGTAGGTGGGCCTCCTCTCTCTATTTATTTTTGAGCTCCCTCCCCCCTCCCCATTTCTGAAGAAGGGTCCCAACCCGAAACATCAACTTTCCTGTTCCTCTGCTACCTGACCGGCTGTGTTCCTCCGGCTCCACACTGTGTTATCTCTGATTCTAGCATCTGCAGTTCTTACTATCTCCAAGCCCAAATACAGCAAGACCTGGACAATATCTAGGCTTGGGCTAAAAAGTGGCCAGCAACATTCGTGCTATGCAAATGCCAGGCAGTGACCATCTCCAATTGGTGACATTGTCACCATCATTTTTTTGAATTTCAGTTGTATTACCATCACTGAATCCCCCATTATCAACAATCTGGGCATTACCATTGACAAGAAACTGAACTGGACTAGCCAAAAAAAATACAGTGGCTACAAGAGTAGACCAGAGGCTAGGACTTCAGCAATGAATAAATGCTTGAAACCCTGTCTTAACTCAGCTTAACTCTGTCTCCTTTCGTGTCACCTCTTTACATCAACTGGGTTTTTAAAACATGTCTGTCTTGCAGCTAGTAAAATTGCCTGTTATTCATAAGTAAATATTTCACAGTGACCCTTTTGTGCATTTTAATCAAGCAGTTTTCCCATTAATAGTTTTGTGCTTTCTGTAAATGGTAATATTTGAAGTTTGCTCCTTTTTTTCACCCAAGTTGGATATAGTGTTCCTTATCTTACAAGCTCAGTCTCTCTCATACTCACTGACTGACCTTTAAATTCCTTTCCAGTGAGCGGTCCTGAATGACCTGTAGAAGACCTTGCAACTAACCAGGACCCTAACCAGAATTGCATGTGACTAATACTTTGCAACAGCCAAATGTAACAGCCCCTTGGAACCGAATGTGCTCTGAATGTTACATCTCTCAGAATGCTGGCTTCTGCAGCTCAATTAAGAATTCATCACAATAGTTTATGACTGCAGTGGGGTATTTTTAAGGAAAGCATATTCACAAGGTTTTTTTTCCTTTGTTTCAAAATCTTCAGTTATAGTTATCACTTCTGCAACCAGCAGAAAGATTCAGCCCGACATTTCCTGTTGGACTTACACTATCCCTTGTAAATTGTTTGTGGATGTAAATTCCCAGAAAACATTTGATAAGATCTGCATCAAAGGTTATAATGGAAAAAAGATCATGGGGTAGATGGTGATATTGTGAAATGTGTAGAATATTGTCTGCCCAACAGGAAATAATGGGCATAAATTGATATTTTTCTGGTTGACAAGATGCAGTGAGTGGCGTGTCACAGATATCAGTGCCGGAGTCACAACTTTTTACAATTTAAATGACTTGGATGCCAAGTTCAAAAGGATAGTTACCATATTTGCTGATAACCAATATAGGTAGGAAGTATTTTATGAAGAAAACATGAGGCTGCAACGTGATATAGGTAGGTTAAGTGAATGGGCAAACGTGTGACAAATGGAGTATGCTGTGGGAAAATAGAGAACTTGCAAGAAGAATAAAATAGAAGCATATTATCTAATTGGAGAGGCACTTTAGGGTTCAGAGATGCCGAAGGATCTGGTTGTCCAAGTGCATAAATTGCAACATTTTCTTTCCTTTATCAATCCAGTTTAGATATGTTATAATTTACGCCCTTGACTTTCCCTCCTGAAGTGGGACTTGAATCTGGAACTCTGGCTGAAAGTTCGAGACATCACTGCTGTGCCACAAGAAAAGTTTTTAAACAACAAAAGTTTAGTATGCAGGTACATTCAGTAATTAGGAAAAATAATAGAATGTTATTGTTGTGAGGAGAACTGAATGCAAAAAGTACATGTGGTTATGCTTCAGCTATGCAGGGCATTGGTGAGACAATCTGGAGTACTGTGTATGTGATGGGTCTCCTTTACTGAAGAAAGGTTGTAAATGGGTATAAGGTCTTGTGTGGTCTTGACAGGGTGTATGTGGAAAAGATATTTCCTCTTGTGGGAGATTTTAGAAACTAGGGGTCCCTGATTTTAAAAAGAAAATCACCCATTTAAGATACAGATGAGAAATTATTTCTGAGGGTCAAGAGTCTTTGGAACACTCCCTCAAAAAGGACTTGGAAGCAGAGTCTTCAAAGAATTGGAAGCAGAGCTCAATTCTTGACAAGCGATGGATGAAAGGTAATGTGATCAACCAGAACAGGCATGAAGGAGCTGAATGGCCTATCCTGCTCCTATCTCATATGTTGGTCTTTGAAGTTGTTACTGGTATCATGAATGGCAGACTAGCCTGACAAAAGCGTGATGTATATTGTCACTCATTCATTTGTTCTTCTGTCAGTTGCTAACATTTCCTTATATGGATGTGCAGATAAAAGTTGTATGCTTGCAAGACCACAATGTCACTCAGTCTGTTACTGACAAGTGTGCAGTTTGTTGTCCTCTTACTATAAAAGAGTTTGTTAACGGTCCGAAACTAATCTTATTCAGATAAGGCTAATGTCAGTATGGTCAACTGTGAAAGCTTTCTGCAGCATCAGTTAGTGACTGTATTGGAGGAATATACACTTAATATAATTATCCTGTTGTGCTTATTTAGTGGACATGTGACTACCAAATTATTGCCACAAAGTTGGAGTTGAATTTAACATTTTATCTTGTGGAAAGGAAGGATTTTGGGGTTAAAAATATATGCATACCTGACCTTTGTAAGAACAAGTGGATTCGTGTTTGTTTCCTATTGAAAGTTTGTTAAGATTGTAGAAGTTTGTTATCTACACTTGGTTTTTGGTATTTTAAGCAATGTGCCCACAGTGGCTTTGGCTCTTTCGCTTACAGATTCCATCATGTCCAATTCAAGCAGACAAGTCCTGTTTGTTCAATCTATTTTATCATTTTAAATTTCTTTCAGCATTTTGTTGCATTTGTGTTTGATTTCTGCACTGTGAGAATTGTTCATGTTCAAATGAAAAGTCTAAATTGGTAAACACTGAGCACAATACTGCTATAGTAATGTGCAAAGCTGCTTGCTTCATTTAATGAAAAATGCAAGGATACACATCACTTGATGTAATACTGCAGTGTTCAAGCAGTTATTTCTTGTTTACAAGCACCAAGGCCCCTTGCATAAAGCAAGGGTTTATCCTCCCTTTATTAAAACTGTGTGTAGTTACTTCAGTGTGCTGTGAAGTGGCATTTTTTCATAATTCCAGTTTTCCCCCAACCTTGAAAGTGAGATGCAGGCCTGTATGAAGAAGTATCATTTGCATTTTACTTACTGAACTGTAACTACAAGGTTTTTTTAAAAGCAGGGAGCAATGAAGTCTGTTTCAATTAAGATTTTTTAAAAACTTGAAATTTAGTCAAGTTGTAAAATTCATCATTAAGGCGCATACTTCACAGATATAGTAATGGTTTACAAGCAAGTGAAACTGTCCCAAGAACAGGGAAAATCAACTGGTCCTGATAATGCTAGCAATTCCATTTTTTGGAGGACAAAATTAATGACTACTTTTAGTTGAAAGTGTGATGTTTTCTATAGTCACTGTTTATATACTGTATGTTGCAATCTGTTAAGTATTTAGCCAATGGTACATGAATGTTGGAGCAAAATTAAACTGTCAGAACAAGATACATATTCTACTATATGAATACATAGTTTCTACTAAGCTTAATTAATCTGCAAATATTTTTGGTTATTCAAACTGCAGAAAGTTCCGACGATGGTGATTTCAAGCTTATGCTGAAAAAATAGATATTGTCATTTCTGTTGGCTTTGTAGAATCAACTGCCTGTTGTAGTCCACTTCCAAAAATGTTTCGCTCTGCTGACGTATTTCAGGTCCTATCTCACTCCTGTTCGAGATGAAGAAGCAGAATCACAGCGAAAAGCTCGATCCAGGCAGGCCAGACAAACCAGGAGATCAACACAGGTCGGTGATTTCATACAATTTTAAAGTTTGTTTAATAAGGCTTAATTGATTTTGTTCAACTGATCCATGCAGGAAGATCAATAATTTTCATTCTTACTCATGGTCTATTACCTATTGAGAACAAAAAACATCACAAAAATTGCTTGTATCATGCAACTCAGATATCGTTATTTTACAACCTTAATTAGATTGTTGATTACGGTCTATGTTTTCTTAACAGAAAGCATGAACTTATTTTGATCTCGGTGAACGTAATTTTTGCAATTATCTTTTCTCTGACTCATTGTTCTATTTCTGTGGCTTGAAGTATAAACCTGTCGTTCTGGCTACTGATTATAAAATACAAGTTAAAAGTTATTTATTTGAAATTTGCTATGCAATAAATGCAAAAGTAGAAATATCTGTATAATGTGAACTTAAATATGTAAGGAATAATTAATTCCCTTTCTTCCCTAAGATTATTTGCATATCTCTTTAAAAGGCTTTCCCTTCCTCTCCATAATTTATTTGATTTGAAGTTCATTGTCATCTGTGCTTCTGCTTGCTGTCAATCTATTTTTTATATTTGGAAATAAGTAAGTATTTGATATACTTTATGAATATTAAAACTGACTTTAAAGATCATGTTATGTTTGATCTTCGGGCATTCTGTGTTACTAGGTATGCATGAAGTGTATCTACTGATAATCACTAATGATTATAGTCAGGAACTTTCAGTTGAATTGCAGATTTTAACTTCGGTAGTATTTAAATCATCAAGATATGTCCATCAAATAAGTAAAGTAATTAGTTTACAAGTTACTGAATTTTCAAGTCAGACTTTTGAACACAAAAGTCAATATGCATTATGCTAATACAGTTGAGGCTTGGAGGTGCAAAAATGTAAATTTGCTCAGGTTTATTAAGGGTAAAATGTTAAATATTTTGCAGGTACTTAAACAGTTTTATTTTGCAAATGTTAACAGCTTTCAAAGAATAAACGTCTATACAATTGGTTGCCTAGTAATTTAAAGTATAAGTTTGTCACCTGCCACAGTATAATTGCACATATAGCCACTTAACTAAATATGACTTCATTATAAAGATATATTTGTAAGTAGATGCTAAATTTGCTGTCTTTATTCTTTTCATTGTCTTGAGAAATTATTACTTTCAAGTATTAGATTTGTACCAAAATTGCCCCTCAGTAGTGAGTTGGTATTAAATGGGAATATGGTAAAATTTAATGTAGGGAAAAAAAACTACTCTATCTAATTTCTCCTTAAGGCATTTGCAGCTGGTAGAGTATAGATATGTGGCTGAGTTGAAGGTGGAGAGGTAATGGAGTTCAGAGTATATAGAATATTGTTTAAGACTTTGTATTGTAGAATCATAGAGTTATACAGCATGGAAACAGACCCTTTGGTTCAACCAGCCCATGCTAAACATAATCCCAAACTAAACTAGCCCCACCTGCCTGCTGCTGGCCCATATCCCTCCAAACCTTTCCTATTCATATACTTATCCAAATGTATTTTAAACATTGTAATTGTATCCACATCCACCACTTCCTCAGGAAGTTCATTCCACAAGTGAACCACCCTCTGTGGAAAGAATTTGCCCCTCATGTCTTTTGAAAATCGTTCTCCTCTCACCTTAGAAATATGCCCCTAGCCTTGAAAACCCCCATCCTAGGAAAAGACACCTACCATGATGTACACCCCTCATTATTTTAGAAACTTCTTTCAGGTTGCTTCGCAGCCTCCCACACTCCAGTGAAAAAAGTCCCAGCCTGTCTAGTCTATTTTTTTATAACTAAAACCTTCCATGCCTGGCAACATCCTGATAAATCTCTTCTGAACCCTCTCCAGCTTAATAATATGCTTTCTATAACTGGGCGACTAGAACTGGACACAGTACTCCAGAAGAGGCATCACCAATGTCCTGTTCAACCTCGACATGACTTCCCAACTCCTATGCTCAAAGGACTGAGCAATGGAGGCAATCATGCCAAACACCTTTTTAACTACCATGTCTATATTTAATGCAAACTTCAAAAAATTATATACCTGCACCTCTAGATCCCACTGTTCTACAACACTCCCCAAGGTCCTACCATTTAATTATATCAGTCCTGCCCTTGTTCGTACGAAAATATGATACCTCCCATACATCCAATTGAATTCCATCAGCCTTTTTACAGCCCATTGACCCATTTGATCAAGATCCCTTTCCAATTTTAGTGTTTGCACGGAAGTAGTGCATGGAACAAATGAGCAAGTAGGAAGAAATAGATAGGAGTTAGAATTGGGAATGGGCAACAAACCAAAGAGCAATGGCTATCACCTGCTCAGGTCAAGAGAAAGCTATTTGTCAGTAGAAGCTCCAGTAATATTTGATGTGATGAACATGATTTAAATGTGGGAGTGGTTAAGTAAACAGATGAATGAAAACAAATGATGAATGCACAAACAGTTTTACACAAGGAACCACCACGAGACGAGAGTTGAAAATGTTAAAATGTTAATATTTACATGGTATCTCCCAAGGTGCTCCATTGTTACCTTATAAGACAAAATATGACACAATCTAATAAGATGATGTGAGACCAGATGACCAAAAGCTTGACCAAAGAAGTAGGTTTGAAGGAACATTTTATAGGAGAAAAAGGGATTAATCAATTTATACAGACTTGTATTTACAATGTTAAAATGTGGCCTGATTGAGTTGCATTAATAGTAAGGTTTGATGGGAATTGGTACAGGGAAACTGTTTCCTCTGATAGAGGAATCCGGATATGGGAGCTGAATCTCCAGGTTAGAGTCAGGCCACTTACGAGTGAAATCGGGAAGCGATGTTTTTATACATCTGGTATTACGTTCCTTTTGCTGTTTTAGCATACTATGAATTAAAGAATTAGACCAATTTCCTCATTCAACCTTCTGCAAATTTAAGGTCATTCAAAACTGTTGACTGTATCTTCATTCATAGTAAATCCTGCTTCCCAACAGCTCGGTTCTCGCTCACCTACATTGTTTTCTGGCAAACAACATCTTGATTTCAAATTCTTATTCTTGTTTTCAAATCACCCCATGGCCTCACCCCTCCTTATCTTTGCTTTTCCAATCCCAGAGTCTTCCAGGGTTTCTGTGCTCCTCTAATTCTAGCATTTGTACATCTCAATTTTAATCACTCCGTTATTGCTGGCTGTACCTTCAGTTGCCTGGGTCCATGCTCTGGACTGTCCTCCTTAACACCACCTCACTGCTTCTACCCTGCTTTCCTCCTGTAAGACACTCCTGAAAATCTACATCTTTGATCAAGCTTTTGGCTGTTTGGCCTAATACCATCCTAAGATGCTATATTGTACTTTGTCTCTTAATGCACCTGTGGAGCACCTTGGGAGATTTATTACCTCAAAGGGGGTTTTTAAATAAGTTTCCAACATGGGACACAAAGCCATTGTGAGTAATTCTCTAGCTATAACTGCATACGTAAGAATGAAACCAGGTGAATTACTCAATTGGTCAGTGAAGGAAGTCTTATCATTCTTGCATTATGCATGAGATGCTATTTATGATTGTGTGCAAGCCATTTAGGTACTGTGGCAGGGCAGAAACCTGATTGGAAAGATCTAGGCATAGAGTTCCAGGATGATGGGCAAAAATTTAGAAATGGACAGCACTTTCAAGGGCTTCAGAGAGGAAAGAGTAGATGAGGATGGTTGGTACAAGATTTGTTCTTTTTCCTTTGTTTTAGTGATGTTGTTGAGTTTTTGGCATGTTGGGGATGTGGGATCCAGTCACAGAATCCTGGCCTATCATGTCTGCACAGACGCTTTGAAGACCACCCCATTGAGACACAGCCCCTCACCCTATTCCTGTAATCCCACATTTACCATGGCCGATTCAGCTAACCTGCACATCTCTGGACTGTGGGAGGAAACCAAACACCAACAGAATCCCTTTAGTGGCAGGAGATGTTTGGTCCAGTGGAGTGTAGTTGGGGGTCAATTGAATAGTTTTTCAGGAGTCAAACTTAAGTTTTTTTTAAGGTTTCTCCCTTTCCTGGGTAACTATTTACTTAACTACAGTGGAACTCTCCAAATTCTCCAATTTAAATTAATGCTTTTGGAGGATTCCAGGCTAATGGTTTTTACCCAGTGGAATCGTCAATTTCCCTAGAAATTCCTCCGAAGTCTGCTGTGATGGGATTTAGCACAGTCTGCATGTGCCACTCCCATTACAGACGATTGCCTGGCCATCAGAAAATCTGGATGCAGTCTGTAGCTGAAGTTGTAAAACCAGTGGGTTAAATACAGGCTCAGGAAGGAGGAATACTAGTAGAAAGTGGGCTGGACCAGGTTTTCAAACCTTTTGTACTGTGCCTTATATGTCTTATAAAAAATTCCTGAGAACAAGTATGTTTTATGTAAAAATAATTGCACAGTGAAAAAATATTCATGAATTTTGTCTTAATTGTATATGTAACTTCTACTGATATTGAATAACAATTTTGACAAGGCATGGAAGTCTGAATTAGCTATGCAGTAGAGTCTCCGTGCTCCGTTTGCCAGTTAACACTGAGTTATGAGGTAGATTTCAAGAAAAGAGGGAACTTTTTCAAATTGTAAAAGCAAGCTGTACTTGAGAAACAGAGGGATAATCAATCCCGAGATGGGTATACCTCTGATATCCTGACACACAGCTGTGTATTTCCTATGTGATTGGTAGTTAGTGAACCTGGAAGTGGCACCTAGATTTAAAGTTATCTAGCATCCTGCCATCAGCCCTTTTAACCCCATCCACCACACTGAACAAATATATTTGATCCATCTTAAGGCTAAAGGGACAACTGAGATTTGGGAGGGCAAATTCTGAAGGCATTACCTGGAGACTGCCCCATCCCATTGCTCTGCACGAGGAAATGGTTCCGGTATGCCAAGAAAATTCCACTGAGAGGCTTGGACATATTTGGGAGTCCTCAACTCTTGGTTCTGTTACTACTCAGTTACACCCTCT